GGAGGTTTGTTTGAAACTATAAACTATCGGGACTACCTTTTGCACCTCCGTTTGGTAGGTTCTGGGCTAAGTAGAAAAGTATGCTACACAACCCCTTCCACAACTTCTCTGAGCAAGGTTTAAAATGAAGCAATAAGAACCAATGTAAGAGCCATTTATCAGTCAGATAAAGATCAACTAGAGTAGTTAAGGGCCTAAGACGAAGTTGATGGTGCAGTTTGTCCTTATCTGACTTTTAAAGGATTGCTATGGAGGCCTTTATGGCTATTATAAAACTGAATTTTTAAGAAGTTTGGAGTGGTTTTTTTTCAGATCTAAGAAGTTCGGCTGCTGTTTTTTAACTCCTGAGTTCTGCTTTTTTTTTCAAACTTAGGAAAAGATGAAACTATTGATTGTCCAAAAGAAGTTGCTAGGAGCCATTTAGCAATATCATTGCTGCCAATTTTTGGAGACCAGCCCTATAGAAAAAAAAGTGATCTGAGGGTAAAGTGAGTCCAAGCTGTAAAATTTGCACCAAACCGAGACCTAAACTTTCCAAAAGGTAGAATAGTTTAGATCTGAGTTTTGGATAGTAACATATCATTGTCTCTGTTAGTATTAAAATTAGCATTTTTCCCTCTGGAAAATGTTGGCTTTTTAACAAGAAGAAAAGTTGAAAATATCACTGAGAACTAAACATTACTATTCAGGGATGCTGCCATGGTGCCACAGGGAAGCAACAGTTCAGGTGCTGAGAAACATCCAAAACGTTGAAAAAAAAAATTAAAGTTCTTGAACCATGAACTATGGCTACCCTACATAAGCCTAGGAAACAGCCAAAATGATCTACAACTCTTGACAGAAAAGTACTCTGATACAAAGCTACATTGGGTTGGAAGGGACAGGGGCCAGGCCATAATTACCCCACTGCTATTATCTGTAGATGCTGCAGTTCGAGGATCCAAACTTCAAATCCTGCAGTAATCTCTGGCACATTCCTGAGATCATATTACTCGGTGGCACAATGTATTGCTATGCACGCATTCAGCAAAACAGTATTTCCCATTGACTTCCTACTCACAATCTGCACTCTACAGCAGTAGTTCCCAACCTTTTTTATATGTGGACCAGCGCGGGAGTGGGACAGGGGCTGCCCCACCACCCAGCTTTAACCCTGCATGTGACTGCTGGTGGCGGAAGCCGCTTGCCTGGGCAGACAGACAGGGCCCAAGCAGGGGCTTGTGCCATGGACTGGCAGCCAACAGAGTTCGCAGCCCAGTGCCAGGCCATGGCCTGATGGTTGGGAACCTCTGCTCTACAATAGTCAGCTTCCAAAAGGCTTCCAAAATACTACTCTTTTCTCTACTGTGATAAGCAGGGATCCTGGATTTCTCTGATTAAAAAAAAATAAAAATCACAAATTCTCTGATAAAACCCCCCAAATCTGTGATTAAAATGAAACACCGCAATATATATACATACATACATACATGTAAACACACGCACATACACACACACACATATCAATTGATACAATGTTTTATTGCTATGTAACAGACTACCAATGTGGGCTCACCAGATTGGCTTGAGATACCCTGGGCTAGAAACAGCGCCGGTGAACTCTGAGCGACCCCAAGGGTGGAGCTGGGGAGCCCTGCCCTGTGGAAAAGGAGAAGCCAATCGAAAGAAGGGGTTTTCAATCCCCTCATTCACATGGAAGGGGGATGGCCACCCTGAGCCCTGGTTGGCTGGTTTGCAAGCCAGGGAGGGACTGCCGGAGGGGATAAAAGCAGCAGCCGAAGTGGCGTGGGGGCTGCTGACAGTGACTCCGGGGAATGATGCAGGAGGCCTAAGAAGAGCTGGGGTGAGCTGAGGCAGCAGAGAGACCCCTCTGAAGAGCCTCAAAGTCTTTGGGAGAAGAAGGCAGCGACAGTCGGACGTGTCTCCAGCCCTGCAGCAGAGAGGGAGCAGCGGCCAGGGCTTGGGGCAGAGAGCTGGTGCCCCAAGGCCCCATTGCAGTGTGCTGGATGTGTCGGGCGCCCCAGAGGCTAGGGGTGGCAGTCGGCCCCCCACTCCACTGCAGAGAAGAAGCAGCGGCCAGGAGCACAGGCAGCATCCTTATCTGAAGCAGGGAGCTGGGCCAGTGAGTTGAGGAAACCCCTTACCTTCCCTGGGGAAGCAGGACACCAGCAGGCAAGGCACTGGGATCCTGAGGAGCAGCAGAGCACCAGGATGAGGGTCCCCAGGAGCTGAGGGTGCAGGTTGGCGCTCTGAGTGGGATTGACAAACTGTGAGGCGTGTGGGACTAGTCATCTGGAGCAGAGATTTAGAGCAATGACCCCCTGGGATCTGCCTGTGCTGCTGACCCTCGAGGGTGCAGGTTGGCGCTCTGAGTGGGATTGACAAACTGTGAGGCGTGTGGGACTAGTCATCTGGAGCAGAGATTTAGAGCAATGACCCCCTGGGATCTGCCTGTGCTGCTGACCCTCTGCCACTGACTGCCCCAGAGGGGACTCAGTCTTGTCCCTTATTCTGCAGCTGATTGTCATTGGATGGAGTCCCTGAGCTTTGTTCTTGGGTCATGCCGATTGCTGCAGGACCCTACTTTGTTGCTTGCCTTTTTGGTTGCTACAGAGGGTCACCCTTCAGCCTCTTTGGGGGGTTGGGGTTTGATACAATTTGATTGCTGCAGACCAGAAGAGCTTAACCTGTTGCAGTCTGCCGCTTATTAGGAAGCCTGTTGGAGCTGCAGGGAGTGAACACCTTGCTTCCTGGTAGTAGCATCTCAGCAGCGGTTGAAAGCTGCCAGTTACCCTACCTGTGGTTCTTGAATCAAGGGTTGACTAATGCATTCTGGTTTGTTTTGTGATTCTGGCTATGCCATTTAAGTTCACTTGTAAATAACCTTTCCTGTTATTCCTGTTTTGTAAATAAAGTGTAAATAGTTAAATCATTTAAGTGTTAGACCTTCTTGGGACCACAGGCTGCTCTGTGGGGAGCAGAGGCTGGCTGGAAAGTAAATTGGTGCTGGCCGGAAGCCCTGTCCTACTCTCACCACACCATCCCTGATATTGGGCAGAGGTGGCAACTATTGGGCTGCCACCTGGGTTACAGATATTTACAATTTTAAAGCAATTTGAAAGCCTACCAGTGCCTCAATCTCTATAATAAAATAAATTCTAAAAACCTATAAATTTTGGTATCTGCTCTTAGGTTTTATATCATGAAAGATTAGCTCACAGAATGCAAATCCAGGCTCCTCACTTCCAAGCCACAGCCCCCTGGCCCTGTTGGTGCCCCCCACAGCCTACCAGCCCTGCTGGTGCCACTTGCCTTTCACTCACAACCCCTGCCCCCCCCCCCCCAACCTGCCCAAGGGGACCCCCACCCCCCAGCGTCAGGGACCTGGGTCCACAGCTCCCTTCCTCCTGCAGCAGTGCCCAAGCCCCAACTGCCATCTGTAGGAGGTGGCAGCTGCTGCAGCATAGCGGAGCTGAGCTCCTCCTCCCCTGCAGGTGACACATCCAGAGCAAAGTCCCTGGGGGTGCAGGTGCAGGGTGCCCACTGTAGGCTTGTGAAGCAGGGGGAGTTGGCTCCCTGCTGCTTCACACACTCCCGGGGTGGCAGGGTAGACCCATGCCCCCCAGATCTGTGTACATAGCAGGGAAGGGGGTGGGGGCGGGAGGGCTGCCCACTGTGGGCTTGGGTTCCCTACCCTGCTGCCCTCCCCCAGGTCCTCTGCAGCCCAGCGGTTGGGACCCAGCATGGCAGGGCAGAGCAGGGCTGGGGAAGTGCCTTGCTCTCCAGGCTGCCTGGTAGCCATGTGCATATACATTAGGGCTGTACGAAACACCATCATTTCGTTTCGACGTCCATTTCACCATTTCAGAAGGACAGTGTTTTGTTTTGTTGTTTCATTTAGTTTTGAAGCGTTGTCCGTTTCGTTTTGTTGAAACTGTTTCAATGAGTTTCAACATTTTGCCCAAAGGCTATAATGGGAAATCATGAAAACACCTAAAACTGTTATTTTTTGCCTGATTTGGATGAAAATTGCAGGGATAATAGCCCCTTCTAAGGGCATGAAGTTTCAAGGAGATAGGTGCAGAGGTTTCTGGGAAACTGCACCTCAAAGTGGTCAAACCAAAACTCCTGACACTTGCTGGCAGCAGCAGTCTCGTCTCATCCAGCATGCAGATCTGAGGGCTCACACCCCCGGGAGGAGTCTGGCACAGCCCGGCAGCCATCCCGGGGGTGTGAGTCCCCGGATCTGTACCCCAGATAAGAAGAGGCTGCTGCTGCCGCCACCTGGGACTGGCGCTGGGCACAGCCCGCACCCGGCACCAGAGAAAATTGCTGCTGCCACCTGAGCCTCCTCTCTGGCCC